TGCATTTGAAAATGAGAAAACTGCTGCTCTTGAAATTGGAATGATTAGTCCTAGAGTCAATAAAATCAATGAGTCAGAAGAAAAAGAGAATGAGATACAAACTTTAAAAAATGAAATGCAGAGAAGAGTTGCTGAACTCTTAACTGAATTAGAAGGTGTCAAAAAAACAAACGAGAAATTAGAAAACGAACAAAATGAAATACAAAAGAAATATGAATGTTCTGAAAAAGAAAAAAGAGAAATAAACAAAAGGAATGAGGAGAATGAAGAAAAGGTTCAACATTTGAGTAGTGAAAAAGAAGTTATTGAAAAGAGTATAGAAGAGATGTATAAATTACAAAAAGAAAATAATGAAAAATTTGAAATAGAACGAAATACATGGAAAAATGAAAGAATTGAATTTGAACAAAAAATAAATAAGTTAGAAGAAATGATCACAAACTATGAAAAGGCAGAAGGAAGTGATGAGAGAAATGAAATTAAGGAACAACAAATGCAAGAAGAAATTATTAAACTTAAAATGATTCAAGAGAAACTTCAAAATGAAAAAGTTGAACTACAAGACCATTTAGAAAGGCTTGTTATTGACAGAAATGAAGAACAAGAAAGAAAAAGAAAAGAAATTGAAGAGCTCAAGAAAAGGACTGAAGATTTGGAAAAAGAAAACGCTAAAGTAAAAGAAAGTCTTGGAAGTAATGGTATTGTTAACTCTCTAAAACAAGAATTAGAAAAGAAAGAAAAAGAAAATCAACTCATAAAAGATTCTAATGAAAAGTTACAACAATACCATGTTTTCATTACTAAAGAAGCACAGAGAATAGTTCAAGAGTCTGATGAGAAAATCAAAGTGTTTATTAAAGAAAATGATAAAAATGGTCAGGAGCTCCTAGAACAAAAAAAGGAGATTGAGTTTCTTAAAGAAGGAGCAAAAAAAGAAAGTGAACGAAAGAAGAGAATGGTCATTTTGTATGAGAGAAAATTAGATTCAATGAGAGAGTTACTTCAAATAACTCAACAAAAATTAGCTGGGTTTGAAGAAATCAAAAAACATTATAAAATCCAAGAAGAGCAATTAAGAAAGTTAGAAGAAGAGAAAAAGAAAGAATGGAAGGGGAACAATGAAGGAGAAGAAAGAGAAAATGAACAGAAGCTAATAATAAGTGGGATAGTTATAGCATTAAAAATTGCAAACCCCAAATATGAGGACACAAAATATACAGTGGAAAAGTTGTTTTCAGAAATTCAAAAAGAGAGAATAGATAAGTATGAGTGGGCAGAGCATATCCAGAGCATCTTTGCCAAAGAGAGTTTAAAAGAAGAAAACTAAATTAACAATATGAAATTATTTCATAATAAATAAGAATAAAGAAAAAATCAAGTGAATAGAATACAATTGGAGTAAATTTTGTTGTTTTTTTACTTTCATTTGTATCAATTCTTAAATCATTTTCCATTTATCTTTCAATTTTTCATACAATTTCTCAATTAAATAATCACACACTATCTTTATTTTTCTTTTGTAAATATATTCTGGATACTTTATCAAGTTATTGGATAAAGTATAGGCTATTCTTTTAAAAACAATGTTTATTAGTAGAAGTCCCTTTGGTTAATTCTTTTAGAAGGTCTCAATTATCAAAATTAGTTTGTAATATCAATTTCATTTATTAGTAAATTATTTATATTTAATGAATGATGAATTATTAATGAATATTCATTATTCTATTATCTTATTTCATTTTTTATTTATTTGATTATTTGATTTTATTATTCATTAAACTTGAAATTATTAACTCTTATATCCATTATTTCATTTTTATGTTTATTATTTACATTAATATTAATTATTAAATTCAATTTTATTAATATTTTCAATTAATTATTATCATTTTCTTTTATATTTATTATCATTTCTTCATTTATCATCTTCTTTCTTTTTTCTTCACTTCACTTCTTATTTTCATTTCATTTCTATTTTCTATTAATCTTTATTCTATTTTATATTCTTATTTATTTCATTATTTATAATTAATTTGTATTCTAAATGTCGTCTAATAATTTCATTGTTAATATTATCATTTATTTCTTTTTTTTTGTTCATTATTATTTCTTTTATTGAATCATTCATTATTTTTGATTCACTACTATTTAAATTATTTCTTTATATTAATTATTTGTGATATTTTATATATTTATATATTCTTTTCATTTCATATTATACATATTTATTCAAAACTAATAATAAATTAAACGAAATATTGTATCACTATTATATAATGATATTTAATACATAAATTAACATAAATAGTTTTTTTATCAATTTATCAATTATAATATTATTTCAATTCATTTTCTCTTTTGATTTATTCTCTTTACATATCTTATATTAAATTTCATTAATTAACGTTTCAAATAAATTTAATTTTAATTTAAATAATAAAATAGAAATGAAAGAATTAAAACATACATGAAATATTAGTTTACACTACTTATTATTAATATCATAAAAAATAAATACTCATAAGTGTAATGTTATAATAAACATAGTTTTTTTCTACACTAATATTCAATACATATATATAAAATAAGTTTTTATAATTGTATTACCATAAGTACTGGGTTGTATATCTAATTAATAAACAAACATTAATAATGATTTATTTTGTTATGTTTAATATTTTACAAGAAATTGTAACAATATAATTTAAATAAACCTAAAGATAAACAACTATAAAACATTCTAATCAATAAAAACATCCTTATTTATTGTATTTCATTTGACCATTCATTAATCATAACATTATTTATTGTTTGTACCTTTTTATTTTAAACAATTAATCTTATTAAAAATTAACTAAGTTACTCATTATCATTACTTTCTTGTTTAAATACCGAATCCAAATCAGAATTCTCTAATTAGCATATTATTATTATTATTATTTTTCTCTAAATCCTTCAATTGGCATATCATAATGAATAATTGTTTCATTGGGATATTACAACCCCCTCTAAATCTTCTCGTCATTTCGTTTTGTTGTTCTATAATTACCTCGATATTATCACAGTCAACCTGGTTGATTGAGTCCGAGGTGTCAATTACCTTCATATTATGACATCGTATAATTTTAAATTCTTGCCTTTAACGTCACTCTCAATATAAATTCTAATGCACTCTTCCATTTTAACCTTCTTCAATTGTCCAGTTAATTTAAGTTCGAACCATTCATTCTTTTTAGTACTAGTTCTTCTTTGTATTGTGAGATAATTTCGTTAACCCATTAATTTATAGATTCACTTATTAACGGTATTATTTTGTATGACAAAGGTCTAATACAACGTTATAAATCAGAGTTTTCAATATGTGTTGTGTTAGTAAAACACCTATCAGTTAATGATGGTACGTCAATACCCAGTTTACTATCAATAACTTCTAATAGCTCTTTAATTTTATCAATTTTAAAATTAATATTCTCACATTTATTAAATGATATTGATCTAGCACATCTAATTTTTAAATTAATTTCTTGGTTTGTGTTATATAATTCATTTTTACAATTAACCATTTTGATATTTCCATAGTGTTCATATTCTCCTTCAAGTGTGATATTCTCACTATTTTCTATTGTAACATCACTATTAATATAATTATTAATTTTAATATTACAGTCATGAATATTTCTTATTATAATATGGGTTTTATCTGTTTCTATTTCTTTATTTGTATTATCCATTTATATTATTTCTGTATCTTCTTTTATAACGCTCTTCGTTTCTGGGATATTACATTCTTCATTATCTATTGTGATGATTTCTTCAATATTATCTAACTTCCCTGTGATTTCTGTATTTTTACATTTTGTTATTTTCATTTCTTTGAATTGGTTCTTGTTAATTATGATTTGACAACTCTCACATTCATCAATACATAATTTCTTACATTTATCAAATAATTCTTCAAAGATATAATCTTTCATGATACAATATATATCTCTTCTGCTTCTTTCAGAAGTACTTTAATGTATTCTTTAACTGATTTAAATACAATTCTTTTTGGTTTAATATCAATTTTATTAATTGTTGATTCAATTACTTTCATTGTATTACATTTTTCATTCCTGTAATATTCACTTGTTTAGATTCAATAATTGTTAGTTTGTTAATTGGATATTTTGGTTTCAATTAATTTTATTTCCTTCTATTATTTCAATATTTTGTTCATTATTTGATTCTATTTTCAATATGAAATTCTCACATTCTTTAATATAAATATCAGTTGATTTATTTGTTGATAATTTGATTTGTGTTTGTTTATTTCTTTCTAATTTCAATCTTTTAATACAGTCTGATTTTATATTAATTTTACATTCTCTACAACTAATTATTTCAACGCTCTTTAATTTATTTGATATTAAACTAATATTTAAATTAGAACAGTTTAGTTGAAGTTCTTCAAGGTTTGAGAGTGTGTTTTAAATTATTGTATTTCTTTCCAACGTCTTTAGTTATTTTTATTATAGGGTTTTGTTTTTCTTTCATTTATCTTTACTTTTCCAACTCCTTTTACTTGTAATCTTTTCAAACTATTCGTTGGTTGAAGTTCAATACAACACATACCGGAACAACTAATTGTTAACTGTTCAATGTATTGTTGGTTTATTATGAGGTTAGGACTTTGTTGGGACAAAGATTTTTGATGTTTTCTGGTAATTGTGGTTTTAATGGTGTTAAGTATTGGCTTTGAGTAAAAATTTTGCTTCTTATCAAGAATTATAATAGAATTAAGATATAAATCATTTACGATATTACAAACTTTGTTTCTATTTTCTTCATTAGTGATATCACTAAGATTTACAACAACTGTTGGTACATATACTCTAACATTTTGGTATATTTACTAAATCATTATTGTTGATAAGGTGATTACAAACCATTATGATATTCTTTTTTTTTTCAGGACTTTTAATCCAATTACAATCTGTTTTTCCATTAATTATGATTTCGTCTGGATAAAATTGTTCATCTATTTTCTTTATATTAAACACTTCATCAAACCTCTTTGCAAATTTTTCATTACATCATATTTTAATTCGTTTCTTCATACTTTGAATAACACATTCCACTAATTTATTTAGTGAATCTGAAAAACAAATCATGGACTCTACTTTTTGAATAATTTTAGTCGTTCGTTCTTTCTTTCTCTTCTTATGTAGTGTTTAATTCTTGTTGGCCAACTGTTCTGACCATCTTATTTCTTGTTATTGAAGTTACAAAACTACTAAAATCATATTTCTAATATTCTTAACTTTCATCAACACTGATTTATCAACAGGAAGTAAATTACAAGTACGTGTTGGTGGACTAAATGTGTTACAAAAATCATTAACATCTCTTTCTGGTGTAAACAATGGATTAACTTTCAATGAGTTAATTATAATTCCCCATTTCTTGTTAATCATTTCAATGTTTTAAGCCATTCATATTAAAGATACGAAGTGCTACTTTCATTAAATAAATCATATCAAGTTGTTTCATTTCTCTTCTTCTATAATTTGATCTACTATCTTCCATTAAATAGTTCAATTATTTATTTTCATGTTCATCTTATTCATTATTTTTGAATCATTTCCTCAATTCTATAAATAAACTTTATTAAATGTTAATCCAAAAAAATATCAATCCTCAACCATATTCAAATTTGTGTGGGAACCAAAAAAAGATAATAAATAATATAATTATATCAATAAAATAATGTTAATTATTTTGCATCAACAGATTAAACACTTTTTATTGTATATTTCTAATTTATATAATAAAAAACAAATCCTTTATTTCATCATTCTTTTCATCTTTTATTAACTCTTTTTGAATTATTCTTTTTTATCTTCTTTCATTTTATATTCTCAACTCTCTTCTTTTATTCTTTCATCTTCTTCTACTTCCTAATTTGAAATTTTTCTTTCATATCCTTCTTTTTCATCATTTCTCTTAATTTTTATATTATTTTATTTTATTGTTGGAGTAAATAATGAGTTAGAGAATATTTATAAAGAATATTATAAAGAATATAATGAAATTTGAATAAATAAATATCAATTTTGATAATAAAAAGAATAAGAGAATAAAACAAATGATAAACAGAATAAAATAGATGAATGGTATTATATTATGATAACGTTCTATGATATCTTTTAAAAATATTAAAATTAATTAAATTATTTAATATTGATATTATTTGAGAAACAAATAAATAATCAATTTCAATCAAATTGAATTAAATTAATTTATTATTCATAATTAATATTTGGACAATTTTCAAATGCTCCTTTTTCAATTATTATTGTATTTGGATTAATGTTAATTTCTTTTAATTTTATACATTCTTTAAAACTTTCTGTGTTTATTTTAGTTATACTTTGTGGAAGTTCAATTCTTTGTATTTGTCCACAATATTTCATAAATCCTTTTGGAATTTCTTTAATTCCTTCATGTATTTCAATCTTTGTTAAATTTGTACAATAACCAAAACAATCATTTCCAATATCTCTTACATTTGAAGGAATAGTAATTTCTTTAATTTGACTTCCTTCAAAACATCCATTTCCTATTCGTTTGACTTCTGTTGGTATTTCATATCCATACTTTTCTCTATCTTCAATTGTATATTCAATTTCTTCAACTTCGTTATTTTCTTCTTTTAATATCATCCAAACCCAATATGGAATGCTTTGATAAATATGTATTTTCCCTGAACTTCTGATATTTATTAAACTTTTACAATTCCAAAAACTACATTTCCCAACATATCCAATGTCTTTATTCATTCGTATTTCTTTTAATCTTGTACAATTTGAAAAACAATTATCTCCAATATATGTAACATATTCAATATTAATTTTTATTAATGATTTACAATTATTAAAACATTTAAATGGAAGTTTATAGAGATGTGGTGATAATTCTATTTTTGTTAAACTTGTATATCCATTAAAACATTCATCAACACATTGTTTAATATGTTCTTCAATTCTTATTTCTCTAATTTCTCTATCATAATATCTGCCTATCCAATTACATTCATTTTCTATCTTTTCTCCATA